ATTACGAAAATGACCTCACTCATCGAAATAGCAAAATCCATATCCACCGGATCCATTCTTAGCACTCCCAAAATTATTGAAAAAGCTGCAAACCCTGATCTAATGAGGGAACTGCTGAGGAAGCTTGAGTCCACTGGCCTCATAAGAATGGCTACCTACCCCTATCCCTGCTTCTATCCAGAGATAGTAACAGAGTTCTACATCAACTCAACTTCTGGTACTCTGAAATCAAGGGTTCTTGGAATCGAAGTTGAAATCAAGGAAGAAGAAATCAAGGATATGCTATCTCTACCCGGAAACGAAGCCCCTGATGTAAGTAACATCACCCTTGACGAAGTGGCTTTCAAGGAATTGGTATTTCTTCCAAAGGCACAACATCTCAACACTCTCAAGGTGAAGAAGGGCTTGATGGTACAGGAATATTCCCTTCTTATGGACATCCTGTACAAATGCATAGACTGCAGAACCACAGCCCTAGATGAGATGAATGCACAAAGGGCCTCTGCTATGGCTGCAATAATATCTGGTTCCCCACACAACTGGTCCAGGTATGTACATAAAGAACTTGTGAGATATGTCAACAAATCTCACACGGATAGAGCAGAGGATGGTTCCCTACCTAAGCTAGGATATGGCTTCTTAATTGGAGAGATTCTCAAGAGAAAAGGCATAATAGGGAAAATCAAAGAAGAAACCAACTGGAGGAAATTCCTCCACCAAACCTCTAAAGCTGGGGCTCCACAAATATCAAGGGCAGAAGACACCTTTCTCTCCAATGAGCCCATCCAGATCGAATTCAATAAGATCAAAACCCAATCTCTGAAGAGGCTGCGATCAGAAGATAAAGAAGCCCAATCCAAGAAGCAAAGAAGAGAAACTACTACAAAAAGAAATCTGCAAGAAGAACTGGAAGCAGCTGCCTCCTCACTTCCCACTATTCATGAAGAAAGTGAGGGCTCCCGATCAGAGGAAGACCAGCATGCTCATGCTTCTCACTCTGAAGGTATTGATATATCTGCTACTCCACTCTCAATACATCCCCAATTCCATGAGCAGGTCACTCAAGAAGTAGAGCAGGAGGCTCCTCCTTCACCAGCAGATCACTCAATCACTCCCCTGGAAAGATTGGAAGCTGAATGGGCTCGAGTCAAAGAATGGAGGAAATGGAAGATGTCTCGAATCCTAACCCAAGCCAAAACCCTTTCCAAATTCATCACGGAAGAGTACTTTGCTCTAAACTGGCTAGGAACTGAGGACATAGCCAAAGCCACAAATCTTCACCAAATGAATCTGGTCTATCTCACAAAGAAGAGGCAGCTGACTGATAAACCACCAGAGGAGCACTCCGTGGATAAAAAGGATGATGATGATTCTGATGATGATGATGACAATCACTCTGGTCCAAATAACCCTCCACAGAATAGAGGTAAGCAAATCATCTCTTCTTCCTCTTCTAGTGATAAAGAACTTCAAATGGTTCTAGAAAAATCTAAATTTGAGACTAGAGGAGGTGGAGAAACCTCCAAAGCAATGAAGGAAGTAGCTCATCAGCCCACTGCAGATCAAGAACAGGAGTCTAGTGCACACTCTCAAGCGTCTACTCAAAACTTAGAGCAGCACTCTCCCACATTCATTCTTGCACCTGAGGATAATGACGAGGACACTGCTACCCTGGCAGACGTCTTCATCAAAGAAAGAAGGGCTACCACACAATTCATAAGCCGCGCCGAGGTCCGACTACACAAGAGACTCATCAAAATGAAGAAGCAACTAGAAGAAAAGCTAGATATCAGGTTTGGAGAAGTCCACAGCCACATCAGGAAAGATTCAATGATCCAACAAGTGTTCAATGCTGAGCAGAGAGCTCTCCTCAAGACCAAAACCTCTCAGCAGTCTGTCTTGACCAATGAAATAAAGCAGGAGATATCTGCACTAAAAGCCAAAAATGAAGAACTCGAAAGACAAGTGCTAGTACTTCAAAAGCAGCAACAAGCTCAGCCTACTGCAGCAAGTGCTTCTGAGCAATTGCCTTCTCTCCCAACCTTACCTTCTAATCTTCAGCAGGCTTTTCAAAAGGTGCAGGAACATGAAGAGTATCTCATGAAACTAAGGAATGAGGAGTTCCCTGCCATGTTCAAGCTATCTCAGAAATTCCTTATGGAGCAGCAGGCTCATGCTAAAGCCTATGAACAGCTCACTAAGGACATTGCTCACAACTTCCAAGTTCTCCACAAAGGAACTCAAGAAACCTTCTGGCAGCAAGGCAAGGACTTCCAGAAACTAGGACAAGACTTGGCACAGACAAAACACAAACTTCAGAACTTGGAACACGAAGTCAAAGATGAGGTAAAAACGGATCTTCTGGACATCAACAACCACATCAAGGCACTGTCTATTGAAGTCTATGGTCTGAATACATCCAGAAGACCACATGAAGATCCTGACTCTGATCCAGAGATAGAAGCTCTATTCAACGAAAGCCAGACCCCTGCTGCTGATGCCAAAAAGGGGGAAAGAACAACACAAGCAGGCCCCTCATCTGTAAGATCACTAGCAGCAAAGAAAGCCGCAGAAACCAGGAGAAAGAACAAGCTCCTCCAAGAAGAAGCGGAGATCAGACAAAGGAAAGCTGAAGAAGCAAAAGCCAAGAAGAAGCTGGAGGAAACCAACAAAAATAGACTTCAAGGAAAGTCCGAAAGTGACTAAAAACTATTGTACTTTAGACTGTAGACCAATGTACAATATTCTCAATAAAAATCAATAAAAACAATTGTTTCTTGTGTTGTATAGTTTTGGCATCATCAAAAAGGGGGAAACTGTTAGTACCCAATTTTGATAGATTTTGATGATGCCACTATACTTTGCACCCGTACATTGTGTCTAAACTAAATTCAAATATTAGCATTAAAATGTGACAAAATAAATGTAAAATTTTTGGAACTAATAAAATTACACTGGAAAGTCAAAATGCAATAAGGTAAAAATTCTTTTACCTTAAAAGGATATTTAAATCCTACCAGTATAATTCTATTAGCACACAAAAATTAAATGTCACATAAACATATACATTGAATGTATATGATTGAAGACAAAACTTGACCGGCATTTAATACCGGATCAAGTACTGGGGCCGCGGCATGGGACGCACACATAATACAAGACAAAGTGATCAGCTGAAATTAATGCTCCAGCACAAGAAGACAATTGTACTACTTATCCTTGCCAGAGATCTTCAACGACAAGGATTAATTCATCTCAACCAACGGATGAGATTAATCAACCATGAAGGCCTATAAATATAGGTAGAAGCATGAGTTCGAAAATAAGCTTGAGCATCCTAAGTAGAGAAATACTTTCATCAAAGCATATACGAGCTATCTAGCAAAAGAGAAAGTGCAAACTCAACTTTACTCTCTGCTTAGCCTCATGCTTCACTAAGCTCTTAGATTAGATCAATACTTTTACATTTTTAGAGCTTAGTTCATAGTTGGAGGTTAGAACTTTCTTGTAACATTTCACAAGTGGTTGTAAACACTTAGGAGAACAGTTGTTCGGATCCTAAAGTGTAGTTAGATAGATAGAGTACCTTTTGATCCCCACTGGATCAATTGAGAAAAGTCTAAGGACTGAGTAACTTTGAGTGGTGTTATACTCATTGTGAAAAACCTTCAATCTAGGCCTAAGTGTTGTAAAGGCTAGATTGGCACTAAGTGTATTGGGCTTAATACTTTAGTGGAAATCCATCTGAAATAGGGTGGGACTGGATGTAGGAGGATTACACCACCTCTGAACCAGGATACATCGTGTGTTGATTCTCCTTTACTCACCAAAGCACACACCCAACACTTCTCACTAAAGGGATCGTAGTTTGCCAGCAGCATCCTAAGCAGTTGTCTTAATTGACTCTACTGCTTATCCTACTGCTTAATAACTCACTTTTCCTTGAGACTTCTGTTTCCCACAAGCTTTGAATATCACTACTAAAAGGTGTGGTTGGTCAGTCCTCAAAGATACCTCCTTATAAGCAGCAGACGGCTTAGCAGTTTCCTGGGATTACCCAACTGCTCAGACCACTGCTCAGGCAAAACTCTTTACTATCTTCAGCTCAACATATATTCAGAAAGCCCTCATCATTCTCTGCAAGGCCATATTATCATCTTTCTCAAACTCCTATTTTCAACTGGCAGTTGCCTCAGCAGTTCCCTGCCATCTAGCCAACTGCCAAGCCAACTGCTCACAGTTTAAAGTCCAAACATCATTCAAGGTAGAAAGTTGTCACACACTCATTAGAAAAAGGGTAAAGACTTCCGCTGTGCATCTATTAATCTCTCAAAAGATTATAGATCAATTCATCTAGAGGAAAAAAACTTCAAAAATTGAAAAAGACTTAAAAGTCTATTCACCCCCCCTCTAGACTTTTACCCTATCCGGAACCATCACTAAGTATGTTTGAATGGATTAGAAAACGGTTAATGAAAAGGTTTCATGTGAAGTACACTGGGATGGTGAAATACAAGGGGGCAATCTGTCCTAACAAACAGGACCTTCTAGAAAAATACAAGTATGAGAGTAGGAATTGTTTTTGCACACCAGCTGGTGACAAGCTTTATGAGGTAGAATATTTTGATAGAAGCTATGTGGTCAACTTGAATGAAAGAAGTTGCACATGCAGAATGTGGGATTTAAATGGTATCCCCTGCAAACATGGAGTGTCTGCTATTTATGCCAATAGAGAAAAACCTGAGGAGTATGTCAGTCCTTATTACTCAAAAGAAACCTACCTGGCTGTGTATAACCATATGATCCACCCTGTCCCTAGTAAAGAAGAGTGGGAAACCACTGACTACCCTGACATCAAGGCACCCATTCCAAGAAAGCCAGCTGGTAGACCAAAGAAAAAGAGAATTAAAGCTCCTGAAGAAACAAGGAATCCATATAAGGTTTCTAGGTCTGGGAAACATGTTGTTTGTGGTAATTGTAAGCAGGTGGGACATAATGTAAGAGGATGTAAGACATCCCTTACAGGAGAAACCCCATGGCAGAGAAGAATGAGGCTAAGAAAACAAAAGTCTTCCACAGGAGGAGGCCAAGAACCTGATGCTCATGAAGCTGAAAATGCAGATTCTCATGTCAACACTCAGGTTGTGCAGACCACCAGTGAATCAGTCCCCATTGCTTCCACTCCAAATGCAACAAGTTCAAGAAAAAGAAGAAATACTTCTAGTTCTCAACCACAACAAACTTCATCAAGAAGAATTACCAGATCTTGCAGTTCACACCCACCACAGTCCCTGGTATGACTTAATGGTGTGACATTAATGACCTTTAAATCAGTGCTTGTATAACTATTAAAATTGTTGTTTATGTGTGCAGGACAAACATTGTTGAACATGGGGGTGCTTCAATTTGAATAGATGTCATATAATTGCTGAGAAGATGTCTGGGCTTAATGTTATTGTGATGTAATTGTAATTGTAACTGTGATGAATGTAGCAGACAATTTGTAATGTCAGTTGGATTGGTTTTTGCAGTTATTTTGCTGAAATGTAATAAGTACTATGTATTGGATGGATTTTAGCAATGAATGTATGGTCTGTCTGGGCACACATTGCTTTGATTTATCTAAAAAGGCAGGAACTGTGTACTTGTTGTTTTGGCTGGAATCAAATGAGTATGGGTCAGATTGTTATGTTTCAGTATAATATGTCAGATTGTTATGTTTCAGTATAATATGATGTTCCTATTATACTTACAATTGGATGTTCATCAGATTATTATGTTTCTTTGATTTATCTTGCAGTGGGTGTTCATCAGATTATTATGTTTCAGTATGGGATTGCTAATCTAATGTGTCCTAGTAGGATGTATTAGGGAGTCAAAGATGATAATAAACATGACAATAAAGAACAACAGCTTAGGGACTCAAACACTATCATTCACATTTGATTTGCTTGTCATCTAATATGCTTCCATAATGGCTTAAACCCATTTTGCAGAAATCCCTCAGTGGGATATGTAAAACACATATGCTGCCACTGAATAAGATAATAAACAACAAAAGCTTCAAAAAGACCATAAGCTTCATAACCAAATTCATAATCTTCATTACAACAATACAACCAAATTCAACAACCAAATCAGTACCCACATACAACCACACAAGAACTAAACATCTACTAAAGAAAATGACAATTAATTGAGACTGAAGTTTGAGTGACACATTTTATCAAACACATGGCAACCTTACACACCTAATATATCCTACTTCCCAACAAGATGATAACCAACAACCCGAACCACACTACATTCCAGGAGAAAGTCTTATTGCCTTTCTTTGACATCTTAAGTTCCTCTTCCATATTTTGGAGTTTCAAAAGACCTATCCCACGAACACAACTCTTGATTTCAGCTTGCATCTCCAATTCTTTCACTCGGAAATTGTCTTCAACACTGGTAATCTTCTGGAGCAAAGTATCTATCCGTCTCAAACAAGTAACACATTCTTCATCCTCAACCCATTCAAAAAAATTGCACTTTTGAGCACTCAAGAAACGACCGCACCCATGAAATCTTTTCCCCCTGTTTTTGTCTGTCGTAGCAGTCCACACTGGTGCTTGGAGTCCACACTCACACCTCTTAATTCGTCTTCTTCCATCCATCCACTGGGACTCAGTGCTCGAAGAACTCATCGCCGTCTTACTCGCCTTTCTTTTATTCCTTCACCGACGTCTTAAGGACAGCCTTAAACAAGAGGCTGGAGGGTTTTAATAATTAAGCAGAAAAGATAAGCCACGTGTATATGCGTAGATGAACCATTTCAAATTTCACCGTTAAAAATTTTGCCACGTCAGTTATTACTAACGTCGTAAGGCCTGGTGCCCCGGGTGAGATAACGGAGTGGAATCACGCGCCCGTGGTTGTCAAGAAATGAATCTCATGCCCCGAATTGAAAACACCCCAAACCACAAGTACGTTTACTGTAGTTTACCCTATTTTTTATAATTGTGAAAAAGTCAAACCAGTTTAGAATTATTTCAGAGGCATTTTGGGTGTTCCAACCCTATATCAGACTGTATCTATAAGGCAGGTTCTTGTTTCATGGTGGCTCAAGGCGAGTAGTAAGAATTTGGAAGATATCTTCAAACATTGTTTACCTGGTATTGTGTGTTGGCATATTTGGAAGGGTTATTCCAGTTTAATTTGGGGACAGGGGGATTCTTTCCATTCTCCAGAAAATCTTATTACACAGAGTAAAGGGTATACTCGTTTGTGGGTAAATAGCTTCTCGACTAAAAAAATTCAAAAGGTGGATAGGTTTTTATATGAGGAAAAGTTAATTCCTAGCTCTTTCCTATTAGAAAAACCGCTAATCCTAGCAGTCAAATGGAATAAGCCTAATCAGAAATATAAATTGAACACGAATGCTAGATACTCATCTTTATCAGCCGCAGGGGGTGCGATTCTGCGTAACAAAGAAGGACTTTTGGTCCGTGCTACTTCCTTCCCAGTCCAAGCGTCTTCTCCTATGGAGGCGGAGCTGCTTACAATATGTCGAGCATTATCTTGGGCTATCAGTGAAGGTTTTTCAGACATGCACGTAAAAATGGATTCGGAAGAGGCTTTGAAGATAATCAGGGATGGTGGAAAGGGTAGATGGCAGAGTGAAATTCAGGAAATGTTGCTGATGTCGGAGGGGAAGAGGGTTTCCTATTCCAGAGTTTGGCGTGAAGCTAATTGGGTCGCACACCATTTAGCGGCCCAAGAACAAGCCCAACAGATTAATTATTCCCAGCCTGCTTCGTTACCAGCCTGTGTAAGAAATGCATATTTTACGGATCTTTTTGGGCTTCCTATTCTTAGAATTTTGGGTTAATTTTTTATTGCTCGTGTTGTTTTTTCAATGGGTCAGGTATAGCCCCCCCCCCCATTGGATGTCTTCTATTTTTGTTTCCAGTGCGCTTTAATTTTTCCGTATTCATACTGTTGTATTTTGAGAAGGAATGCCTTCTTAGAGAGGTTTTGGTCTAATCCCCCTCCTCTCTTCGGTGTACTCTATTTATTCTTTAATAAAACCTGGCAAGTGTTCCCCGGCACTTGCCCCACCGATGAGTGGTTTTCCTACCGGGTTTTAAAAAACGGTCTTCTTTTGTCCAATGACCAATAATGCAATAAAATCTATCAAAATATAGATAATGTTATTAACATTAAATTACTAATATGACAATATCTATTACCTAGTATTTTGTTTAGATGAACTTGCAAAATCAAACAAAAAAATAAAAAACCTAAAGTAACAATAAATTAGAAATTAAAACTTTCAAAGAAGAAAATAAGAAATTGAAAAGTAATACACCAACAAACATGTAGTTACGTAGACAGTAGGACATAATTAAGAGAAACTATGTCAAACAAATTGAAAAATAAAATAATTAAAACTTCACATAGCACTGCAGCAGGACATAAAGAAACTGTAAAAGGAGGAAGAGGTGGGTCATCGGTGGAGACTCAAACCGGGCAGGCAGGCAATAAGGAAAAAATTAAGAAACAGCAAAGATCGGGAAAAAAAAGTAGAAGGAAGAAAAAGGAGGAGAAGGAAGAAGAAGACGAGAAGGAAGAAAAAGGAGAAGAAGGAAGAAGAAGACCCAGCAAATTTCGCGACAAGGCGGCGACAAACATCGGTCCAGTAGTGACAAATGGCCCGGCGAATCTGCGACGAGAGGCTGTCCGGCGAAGACTCAGCGGACATCGCATCGCATCTCTTTGTTGGCCGATTGAAAAGTGGTGCAAGTTATTTGATGGGTATGAGTACTTTTGGCCCAGGGTATTCTCGCCCTTCCGATTCAAAATAAGTCTTATTTAGGAGTTAAAAACTTCCAACTCCTATTTACGTTCCAGCTTATTGCTTTAGGATGTTTTTACTTGGACTGTAATTTGCTGGTCTGGTCTGGTCTGATCTGGTCTGGTCTGGTCTGAACTGGTCTGATCTGGTCTGGTAAGTTCTGGTTTCTTTGTATTTTTATAACTATCCAAGTCCGGTCTGGTCTGGTCTGGTCTGAACTGGTCTGGTCTGGACTGGTCTGGTCTGGGGAAAATTACAGTCCAAGTAAAAACATCCTTAGTCGTATTTGAGTCTTATTCCCTAAGTTAATTAAAATTGTTCCACCTTTGAAAAATTTCACAACATTTTCCAGCGAGCAATAAATGGGCTGGGTAAGAGGGATAATGTGCATCATGCATGGATTTTAATGATCAAAGAAGCTTTTTTATTTCTAAGAGAAAATATTCCTGGACAATCTTACTGAGATTGAGTAGTGATATATATGGAGTTAAATGAATAAAAAATACCAACCGAAGTATGAGTGATGAAAATGTTAGCACTACATAGATCGGTGGTATTCAATGGCTCGCTAAACCCTAAAAGGAATTGAGCTCAAACTCGATTTGATTGCTTAACGAGCCGGTTTGATCGAGGTAGGCTTGAGTTCGAGTTTGCTCAAGCGCGCACTGGTCCAATCTGTTTATAATTAAGTTTGATCTATTGAAGTATGATCTGGTTTGGTTTGATATGAAACTAAAATAGTCCACATTACAATATATCAAGCTAAGTTAACACGCCATCGATCACATAACCCTATATTAATTTGTATATATAAAAACAAAACAAACTATGATGACTTTCTTTCAATATTGTTCCGATCCTTGTTATGAGATGGAATGGTAATTGATGATATTCAATAGTTGATTACCGGAAAATTCTACCGTGCACTCCTAAATTTTGAATGCACCGGTACACACCTTTTTTTATCCAATCCGGTTGTAGTATTTTACTATGTCACGTGATTCACGTGAACCTATACGAAGTATTTTATTTGCCTAAATAAATAAATAGGATTATATCATTACTTAAAATTCCTACGCAGAAGTGTATACAGCTTTTTCCTTCCAAAAAAGTGTATATGTTTGTATTCCCTAAATGGGTTTTTTATTCCATATTTTCCCTTCTTAATATAAATAATTACTAATTACTTTAATAAGACTAATATAAACATAATTGCAACTAAAATCTAAATCTTTCGCAAATAAGACTAAACATTAATTTTCTACCCTTAATATCCTTAATCTAATTAATTAATTTCGGCGATAGTGTAAAATTGGCATTCTGGAAATTTTCAGCGGATTCTGATGACCGACGACAGGAACATATCGGCAGTTGGGGCAGATTAGCGGCGGCCGCCGGGAACAAAAGACTGTGGAAGGTGGTTGGAGCTACGGTTGGGTATAATTGACCAAATTAAACACATATAATTAGTCATATTTAGGTAATTCACTCGTGACATCAATGACAGAACGACAAAGCCTGCTGGTAAGATTTAAGGAATTAAACACATAAGAAGGAGCTCTTGACCTCTTGTGCAAATTAATTAACTGACCAAATGCCTGCTGGTAAGATTTAAGGAATTTATTAAAGTTGATCAGTGACCTGGAACACCCATCTAGAAAGATCAAAAGGTCATCTGCAAATCCTAAATTAGATATAGGATAACCAGTAGAACCCATCCAGTAGGGCTTGATTGAACCCTTTTCCAAATGCCACTTCAGCCCTCTAGAAAAAGCTTCCGATGCTAAAATAAAGAGAAATGGAGAAATATGATCTCCCTGTTTCACCCTTCTTTTAGGCTTAAAAAAAACAGTAGGTGCTCCATTAACTAGAATAGACATACAAGTAGCCTGCAAGTTGTTTAGGATAACCTGAATGAAGATCTGGGAAAATCCAAAACTATGTAAGACACCTTCAATAAACTTCCAAGATAATCTATCAAAAGCTTTGGCCATATCCAATTTAACAATTACATTGGACCCCTTGACCTTCTTCTCTAAAGAATGAATCATTTCTTGGGCAATTAGTATATGATCCACTAAATCTTTGTCCTTCATAAAGCCTATTTGTTCAGAAGAGATAACCTTAGGAAGAACTTTAGATAATCTGTCAGCAAGAACCTTGGTGCAAACCTTGCTAATAAAGTTTGACAAGCAAATTGGTCTAAAGTCACCAAAAGAATATGGGTTATCCACTTTAGGGATTAAAACTACCAAGCTGCTAGAAACCCCCTGCGGAATAGGCATCCCCAAGAAAAAATCTTGAACTGCCTTAACAAGATCAGCCCCCACAATAGACCAACACTTTTTTTAAAAAAATCCATTAAAACCATCAGGCCCAGGAGCACTATTCTGATTTAAATTCCACACTGCACCTTTAATTTCTTCTTCCAAAGGAAGATTCATTAGCATGTGATTATCCTCATCTGAGATAAGTTTTGGTATAAAATGCAGGACTTCATCAGCATTAATCTCCGGGTCCACAGAGTACAGGTTTGAGAAGAAGTCAATGGCAGCCTCCCCTATATCCAAATGATCAGTAACCAGTTGCCCCCTCCTGTCAGTAATTTAATAAATGGCTTGTTTTCTATGTCTAGCTTTCACATATGAATGATAAAATTTGGAATTTGCATCTCCCTCTTTGAGCCATCTTATATGTGCCTTTTGCTTCCAATATTTTCTTTCGAGTTTGTATCTGGCAGTCAAAAGAGCCCTAAGATGGTTCCACTTTTCCTTATTTTCACTAGAAGGATTCAATTCAAAGGAGTGTTCAGCTTCTAGCACTTTTTCCTCACAGGCTTTGATATCTTCAAAAATGTTACCAAGTGTGTCTTTATTCCATGCTTTAAGATCCTTTTCCAGTCTTTTAAGCTTGTACACAAAACCCCTCATACCTCCCCCACCAGAATCTTGAGTCCAACTTTTCTTCACAGTTTCAAAAAATGTATAATGATGTAACCACATATTCTGAAACTTAAAGGATTTGGCCTTGAAAAATCTTCTGTAGAACATCTAATAAGGATAGGACAATGATCTGAGGGAGTTTTCTCAAGAATATCCACCTGAATCTGTTTATAATAGTCACTCCATTGAGGGTTTAGAAGGAATCTATCCAGCTTCCTCCAAACCCATCCAATGGACCTAGCACCAGCCCAAGTGAACTGTGGCCCTGAAAAAGAGGGTTGGATAAAGCTACAAGCTGCAATGAAGTCTGCAAAGTCAATAATGCTTCCCTGATCTGGCAAAGATCTCCCTTTGTGTTCATTATGAGTACAAATAGCATTGAAATCCCCTCCCACTAGCCAGGGATCATCCATACTATTAGATATAGTTGTTAGAGAACTCCAGAGCTCTTTTCTAACCATAGGGCTATGCTTACCATACACCACAGTAAACCATCCAGTAAAATTATCTTTCCTAATCTTCATGTGAATATACTGATCATGCCAACTAACCTCAGAAATGGTCACCACCACTGGGTCCCAAAAGACCCAAATTTTATTAACAGAAGAAAACAAAGCATTAGGATAACCTAAGATATGTTTATAGAAATCAATCTTGGAACAATTAACAATGGGTTCTATTACTGCTAAAATATGAATCTGTCGTTGCCTGACTATTGAGCATAATCTAGCACTAGCAGACTCTATTCCTCTTGCATTCCACACCAAGCAATTCATAAGCATTGATTGGATAAATCTTGAGTAGTCAGTGTACTGAAAACTGACCCAACACTCTCTTCCTTCTTTTTTGCAGCATTTCTGGTGAGTCTGGGAGAATTAACAGGTAAATCTTTTCTTTTGTTTCTCTTGCTCCTTACTGATGTGAATTCTTCTTCTATTGGACTGACAGTAGTGTCATTTTCAACAGCCATTAACCACACAATTCAACCATGCATTAATCGTGTTTTACAGTTTCCAAACGTTAACCAACGTTCGAAACACTTGCAATTCAAAGGAGAAATTGAAATGTCCATTGACCGACGGTAGTTCTACGTTTAGTTTACCTTCTCATTCACCCATTATCCGTTTTGAGTGTACCACATATCGAATTGAACCCCTTAAAAAGATGAATCTGAATCCACTCTAACCCGACCCAAATCGGAAGGGACCCAACTCAAAAATTTGTCCGAAAATGACCTTTTAATGCAATTTTAATACAATTTTCCAACAATATTCACTTACCCAACCAACCTACATCATTTCTTTTTTCACATCACCATCCAAGCGATTGGTGTTAGGTCCCTGTTTTCTAGTCTATAAAATGTATGTATGGAAGATAGATCTGGGAATGAAGCTTTCCATTGAATGATGAAGAAGTTTACAGAATGATGAACAAAACTTAGCGTAAAACTTCTATCACCGATATAGGCACTGCGGCACTAGGGTATGAGAATATCTGAAAAGCTTAACCTAGCCTTTCCCTTAAGGCATATATATAGCCTGACGGGAAAGGTAGGTTTTACAATTATTTGGGCTCCCTTTTCTAGGAGGCCCATACCTAAAAAGGTATAAAACCTTTTATTACAAATTGCCTTAAAAGGCCTATTCATTATTCTAGCTAGTCTATTTATTTATATCAGCTAAATACAAAGAGCTAAGAAACATTGATCACAATTACAATAAAAATATCTCTAACAATTGGCCATTACATCAACCACATCAGAGATTTCCTTCCAATTAGACTCCCAATATTGCAAAGGTTCCAGTATCTTTTGGGTTCCACCATCTGATGAGTACCCCTTGGCTACCAGGTCTGCATCATATTCCATTTGTTGCTTCATGTGCTTTAAAACAGCATCATCATTCATTTACACTCTCTTAGTATGCTTAATGCCCTTCACTTCCATCTGTAAAAGCTTCTTCACTTCCTCAACGTTTAATACATCAGGACATGCTAACTGAGTACTTTGAACCTTATCATTTTTCGGTGCAGGCGGTTCTTCATGGAATACCTCCTCAGTGCCAGTGCCCTCTTCCTCAATAGAGACTACCTTTGAAATGGGGACAGATGAGGAAGGTTGATCCACTATTATTAATGCTTTACTGTTGTTTGGCTTTGTAATAATGGTGTTTTGCTCCTTATGTGTAATCAGGCCTTTTCCTTTCTCAGCAACTGTAAATTTAACTTGTTTACCATTTGCTACCCTCTTCTCCACCCATTTTTGTTTAGGCATAGTGTCAGACTTAGCCATTTCTGGATTGAGCTTGGGACACATTTCAGTGCAACGAGTATGTGACCGCATTTCAGTGTGCTCAGTGTTTCAAGAAGCTTTCCAAAAGGTTCTACCAAACATATATAGGGAAGGAGGAGCCTTTGTATTAATTACACACTAATACCACACTTATTGTGTGAAATCGCCCATGTAAACACACATTTATCGTGTTTTTATGATATTGAACGTTAGAAGCCATTAACCACACAATTCAACCATGCATTAATCGTGTTTTACAGTTTCCAAACGTTAACCAACGTTCGAAACACTTGCAATTCGAAGGAGAAATTGAAATGTCCATTGACCAACGGTAGTTCTACGTTTAGTTTACCTTCTCATTCACCCATTATCCGTTTTGAGTGCACCACATATCGAATTGAACCCCTTAAAAAGATGAATCTGAATCCACTCTAACTTGACCCAAATCGGAAGGGACCCAACTCAAAAATTTGTCCGAAAATGACCTTTTAATGCAATTTTAATACAATTTTCCAACAATATTCACTTACCCAACCAACCTACATCATTTCTTTTTTTCACATCACCATTCTCGTACCATGACATCATATATCCTCCTTGAGTATGTGTATGGGAAGGTGAACCACTTTGGGAGTGCGGTAAATGTTGTGAGTCATTAACCTAATTTATTACAATAATAAACAGAAATTACAATCAGAGAAAACGAATGTGGGAAGCCCGATTGAATATGTAATCAATGAACAAATGCGACTGAAGCCTTGTTTGCCAAATCTTAAATAGAGGAGGTCGATTTTCGGATTTTGCGCGAACATAGACTGAGGCAATCACGAAGATAGTTGCCAGGGAGTCTAATTCCATAGGAAGTAAGACCTTATAATACGTTCTAATCATTATGTATATAGAGAGTGGTCCACTTCTAAAAAGATGTTTACCATAATAGGTATGAGATTTTAATTTTAAGTCCTTCACAATTTACTTTTGTCTCTCTAAATTGCATTTATTCATGGTGGCAATTTTTTTTACTTATTTATGAAAATATCACTACGATTTAGAAATTGTTGATTATAATTTGCCGAACGATTTGATATCACAACACTTTTCATAAAGATGGTTTAACCCAAACGATCACTTCCAAAAATAGCATTTACTTTCACCATTAAAACAATTCGATTGGGTTATTCCAAACCCAAAATTTATTTGTAGAATAACACATGAGTAGAATCTCTTAACATAGTTTAATTCATACCAAAACAATTTGCACAATTTGCAATCCAAAATAACTAATATTTCTCAAAATCACGATTTTGACCATATCAAACTGATTTGATACATTCACCAGATATCACATGTTCATAAATTCCCAGAAAATCACAGATTATAATATCCATCATATAATATCCTAAAAACTCATGAAATTTTAGAAAGAAACTCAAATCATATCTCAAACCCTAGTTAATACATAATAGGGGCAAAATAGTAATTTTGGTTGACATAGTCCTTACCTCGAGGCAAGCAACAAAATCTAAACGCGAATCCTAGCTTGAGAGGTCATACACACGTTCCTAGGAATATATAGGGTTGTAGGGTTACAACTTAGGAAAGAAATTTTGAATTAAAAGAATTGGAAGAAACAGGAAGAAATCGCTAAAACGCACTTACCGGGAGATTTGGTTGAACTAGCACTTTCTTGGCCACAAAAATATTCTTTGATGGTTTAAGAATGAAAAGCTTGAAGAAAAATATCTCACAAAGTCGACTTTAGGGTTTAAAGAACGAAAAGAATTCAAACAATGGGTGTATTTATACTAACATATCGAATTTGGGTCGAATTGGCTTGAAAAGCCATGCGCACACCGTGCGTGCAGCATGAAATGACACTCAGTCGGATGCGCAAACCTTACGCATGTCGTGCCTACCGTCGTGTGTGACGGGCAGTAGCCTAGCTTCTGCATACGTCGTGCGCGAGTCCCACACACGTCGTGCGTGACTGACAATGGCTCCACCCAATTCCACTGCCACGCACGTTGTGCGCAAGTCCCGCGCACACCGTGTGTGACCCTCAGACACCCCAACACTGAAATTGGCTTAGTTTTTTCCAGGTTTAGGCCTCCCTTTGGTCCCAAACACCAAACCAAACGTGTTAAACTTCTTAGAAATTATCTAAACGATGTAGATCACAATTCTGAATATCTCTCAAATTTTTGGGGTGCTACAGGATGTGTATTTTACATCGGTGTAATCAATCCAGTGAGGTTTTGTTGTTCATGGTTGGCATAGCTTTTTCAGCCTTAGTATTCTGAGGCTTTAATTACTCACCCTTCACCTGAACCACCGTTTTGCTCGAAGAAGAAGCTAGAAAGTGCTCAACTGGATCTCCTTTCTGTTGGCTGGTCAAATCGATGATTCAAAAAATTTATGCTCGACTGAGTTTCCTTTGTCGGTTGCTAGTCAAACCAACAAAGGAGGAGAGACAAAAGTAAATTGTTGATTTAATTTGTTTCCTTTCAAGTTTGGGAGATTTATTTTCTTTCAATTACTTTTTGAGTATCAAGTTCAACAGTGTTGTTAGATTGGCCTACATAGTTGCAGGGTTAGTGATTTTGTTTGATCCTTGAAGGCCATCCAATTCTATGTCTTATCCCAGTATAGCCTCGAGCTATTGAATTGGTTTATCTCTTGTTACTTTTATCATAAATAAATAAGCTTTCTTTTTTTTCCAAAAAACCATATTGCAACATTTTTACAAATGATGGAAACCGACTCGGTCTGAGCTCCAGGTGCGATCGAGTTCTCTACATCAAGCCTTTCATTTGAACCATCGCCTTGCTCGGAAAAGAAGAAAGTGCTCACCTGGATCTCCTTTTCGATGGGTGGTCAAATCGATGATTCAAAAAATTTCTGCTCGACTACGTTTCCTTTGTTGGTTGTTGATCAAACCAATTCTCCTTCCGGTTGCTTATGAAAGCGGTATTTCATGATTTAATTTATGTCCTTTCTAGTTTGGCAATTTATTTTATTGCAATTACCTTTTGAGTATCAAGTTCAGCAGTGTTGTTAATTTACCCTACATAGTTACAGGATTAGCGATTTTGTTTGGTCCTTGGAGGCCATAAAACTATATCTAATCCTAATGTAGCATCGAACTATTATATTGTTTATCTCTTGTTACTTTTATCATAACTAAATAAGTTTCATTTTTGTCAGAAAACCATATTCCAACATTCTTACAAATGATGGAAATCGACTTGGTTTGAGCTCTAAGTTTAATCGAGTTCTCAACAGCAAGCCTTTCACTATGAAGTGAGAGAGTCTAAGTTAATGCGGATGCGTTAGTTTGAGGTGAACAACGAGGGCCCGGATGGGTGGTTCGTGACTCGGAGGGGATCCTTTTAGGTAGAAGTTTCTAATACTTGAGATGAAGCTGAGATGTTATGCATTCGAGAAGCACCTAATCGGATGAAATGAGCTCTTTTTCGATATTGATTTTGGATATTAAATTTGCTAGATTAAATTTTTCTCGTGTTTGGATCATTAATCCTTCCAATTGTATTACTCTTCAAACTTTGATTTGATAAATGATAGCAAACTCTAATCTTTCTTAATAAAATGCACTTGTCTAGTTCCCTCACCCCCATCCCCACCCATATGGGCCCAATTAATAAGATACACAATTACAAGGGTAATTCTATACACACACACAAAATTACTATATGCAGCCCCCATCGAAACACAAACTTAAACATCTCTATTTTGCCCTTACACTAACCTATCGACCATCTTCACTATTTCACGTTGATTGACACAATTATTACCAGATGAAAACTTCTTAAGAGATACAGATGTTTGGAGAGCTTTCTAAATTCTCCGACTCTCAATCAATGCCTCATGCGAATGCTCTTCATCTGGCGTTCATGCACGAGTATTTTCCTCCATCGGCAGTTGCACACATCAGAACCTTGATTCAAAATTTCAGACAAGCTCCAATGGAAACAATAAGTGAGGCTTGGGATCGATACAAAGGCTTACGGAGAAAGTGTCATACACAGTTGATGGATGCTTATGACTTGATGTTCTATTTCTACTATGGACTTCAAGTTGTAAGTAAAAAAGAGTTGGACTGTTATTCAAAGGTGGGTTCTTTTCTCGACATGACACCGGAAGAGAGTGAAACACTCATGGAGAATGCGGTATCAAATGCTAAGAACTGGTACTACGAGACAGAATCTTCTTCCGGGACTACACCTCAAGACATCGATCAAATTTCTTCCCTCACAACCATAATTGACAACTTGGTCGAAGTGACGAATCTCATATCACGACCAAGTCGGGTCAACAAGCAGAATCATATTATGGCAGTTCAGGAAAGTTTAGTGGAGACTAGCACGGAGGCACCCATATTTGATGAAGAATCCACAGATGAGAGATGGGCCTCCACTGAAATACAAAGCTCAGTGGAACTACAGAATGAGACATTTACTGAAGATAATGAAAGTGAAATTGGAGAGATCTTTGAGCCAATTTTAAAGGTGGAAGTGGGGGACATTTTGTGCAAAAGTAAAGTTGAAAAGGGAGAAATTCTGACATCATGTCTTGCTGAATTTGATGAGGCGTCTCACAGAGAGGAGGAATCCGAAATGATCACAGTTGCATCATGTGAAGAATTGAAGAAAAATCCTGAGTTAATCAATGAAATTGAGGTTCTCCTGGATCTACTTTTGGAGACTTTGGATGTGCAAGTTGACCATGAAAATTCTGCACAAAATGAGAAAGAAACAAGTGTGGAGGATGTCCTTGACTTGCTCCTTGAGGTACTTGATACTAGTACATTGCTCGAAACTGTCGAGATTGACGAGGAACTGGGGAATGGGGAAGACTTTCCTTACTTTATTTTTCCACCTGGCAATGAGAAATATGCACAAGCCTTTGTTCTTGCTTGCGAGTTTTTTATGAAAGAATAATGGTACACAAGAAGAGTTCCGAGGGCCAAGCTGTATGATCCAAGAGTTGGAAGGTCAAGGAAAAGGTGGATAATGCGTCAAGCTAGTGACGTTAAAGAAGCGCTTTTGGGAGGCA